CTATATCCGAGTTAGAGTCATTCTCTCAATGTGAAAAGATCCATCTTTCGCATGTTTGTGGTGGTTCAGTTGAGTATTCTCCTTAAGATGACAACTTGTCTCTTCTCCTAAAACCAACCTTTTCATTTTACTTTATTTACCCTTAGTGAGGGGAACTACGAATGCTCTAATTTCATTTCCTTCAGGATACGTAGGCACGAGATGCGATGTCTTGGCGAGCATACTTAGGAATAGAACCTTGGGTCTCCCTTTTCTTTTCACTCTTAGCAAACAGATAAAAATTAACAAATAACACAATAAAGTAAGAGGTTCCTGTAGAGTAATACAGATACTTAGGATGCTAGCACCTTCCCTAGGTATAACCAACCCTCGAACCTTAGATTCTCTTTTGCTTTGTATTGCATTGCATGTTTATGGGTTATTCGTTCTTTTTCCATTCCCTTGGATAAACCAAAGATTTGTGGTGAATTAAGATTTGTGAGCCTAGTTAACTTAATAGATAAGGTATCTGATTCTCACCGCGACAGAAATGACAACTTCACTAGGGAAGTATCTCCATAAGAGGGTTACACCTAACTTGTTTTATATGTGTTATCTATTATATCTGTATATTTGTATATTTCTACACATATATCTGCTTGGGTTTTTTTGTACGCAGGGTTGCTACCTTGAGTGGTGAGATAAGTCCTAACCCAGACTTGAGTGCACTTATGATAGGAAGGTGATACATTGAAGAACGCTTATAGGGAGTTGATTCCCAACCAAACTGACTTGAGAAATCACCGCTCAGTTGAGGCCCTTTTGGAAGTAGTATTGTTGAATGAGTATTCGTGAAAACATTACTACTTTCGACCTAGGAGCCTGTGACACCGATGACCTTTAGTTACCTCATTAACCCACTTGTCCTTCTTAGGATGTAGTGTGATGACTATGAGGGAGTATTCCCAAAATAGTTGATACGCGATACTACACTCAAAAGAGGTTCTCTTGAAAATATTATTAACTATCGAGTAATTGGGAAATTTATAATATCCAAAAGATGGATTGATGACTTTGGGAACTTTTGTAGAACCAGTTGTAACAGGTACAAACAAACTCTTAGTCCACACCATTTGGGATAGGTAAACCATGGCTCCATTCTCATGATTGTTTGCATGTATCTATGTGAAGATGTGAATACGTGTATACTTGTGTTTGTGCATACATGCATTCATAAGTGTAACGCCCCATATTACTTTCAGGATTACCGACTGACCCCACAAACCAACACGGGTCTTTTCAGCATGCTTTGTCCTCAATCACACGCTTTCCAGGAAACTTCCCAGAAGGTCACCCATCCCAGAATTGCTACTAGGAGTGTCTCATTGTCATGCCTCATGACACCGACAACCATTCCCTCGCCCACGGGTGTTACATGTAACCACTGTCCTCTTTCACCTCAGGTGTTACATGCCCACCAGCTTCCGCTTGGTTCGTCCCCGAACCACATCATACACGGGTCTTTTCAGCATGCTTTGTCCTCAATCACACGCCTTTCAGGAAACTTCCCAGAAGGTCACCCATCCCATAATTGCTCCAAGTCAAGCACGCTTAACTGTGGAGTTCTTATGAATGGGCTACCAAAAAGAAGATGCATCTTGTTGGTATAGGTAGTACCAATTAATCCTTATAAGCCTTCATTCAACCATGCAGTCCCATACCTGCATAGCCTCAGGATCCCTCTCATTCGGATGTGAATTCGGTTTTCCCCTAGAAGCTACTAGGAGTGTCTCATTGTCATGCCTCATGACACCTACAACCACTCCCTCGCCCACAGCTGTTACATGTAACCACCGTCCTCTTTCACCTCAGGTGTTACAATAAGCATCATTTTCATAAGAGTTTCATGGAACTTAGAGCTTTTTTGTTTGCAAACATCATAGGATTATCATGGATTGCGAAAGAAAAAAGACTTTAAAGTACATTTTCAAGAGTCCTGAACTGGATGACCTAAGGAAGTTGGGAGTTTTGGTTGTAGATCAAGAGAGGTTCAAGGATAAGTATGGGAAGTTGTTATCACTGTTGAAGACTAAGGTGGACAATGGACTTCTTTCCACACTACTTCAGTTATATGATCAGTCCACCACTGTTTTACCTTCCCCGACTATCAACTCATGCCTACGCTGGAAGAATATTCTTATCTGGTTTGCTTATTCTCGAGGAATCTCCCTTTTCTATCTTGGAGAATGACCCTAAAGAGTAAGATGTTGCCAAGGCTTCATATTTGAGATTATCTGACGTTCAAGACAACATGACTACTAAAGGTGGAGTCTTTAGATTGACCACATATTTTCTGATAAGAAGAACTCAGCATTATATTGATCATCTAATCATGGATGCATTCGAGGCTACTCTTACCCTACTTATTTATGGTGTATTTCTTTTTCCCAGTTGTGAAGACTTTGTTGATATCAACGATATCAATATTTTCTAAAGAAGAATCAAATACCTACTCTGTTAGCGGATGCTTATAATTCTATTCATCTAAGGAACTTTCATATCGGAAGAATGATTTTGTGTTGTGTTCCATTATTGTACAGGTGGTTTATTTCTCACTTGCCCAAGTCTAACTCTTTTTGGGATCTCAAGAATGGTTGGTTGTCACAGAAGACTATGGCTCTTACCCACTTCGATATTGATTTGTACAACTGTGTCTATGATGGCGTAATGATCATTGGTAGCTGCAAAGATTTCACCAACTTGGTACCAAAAGAGGGATTAGTTACAATCCAGTCTTGGCTCGCCGTCAGCTAGGATATCCTTTGAGAAACAAGCCCAGTAGTGCTCATGTGGAGAGTATTTTCTTCAAGGATGGTGAAGATCACAAGGAGCTCAAAGAGAAGATTATGGCTGTTTGGCACCATTTGTATAGGAAAGGGAAGAAAGACTTAGGAAAACCTAATTGTGTTTCTCTGGAACCCTATCTTCAATAGGTCCGAGATAGGGTCATCAAGCTGAAGATGTCTTATCTCCGACAATAGCCCATGATTCTAAAGAAAGAACACACTCTGATTTTCATGTCTGAAGCAGAGGAGTTGAAGATCGCTTTGAGCAAAGTGCAACAAGAAGTAGATGCTTGGAAAAACAAATATCAAGTTGTCCTCGAAGAGAATGTCGAACTCCAAAGACAAATATAGATAAAGAGTGGAGAAGTATTCTCTTGCAAGAAAAGAAAGGCGCAAGAGGATTTATTTTCCTCTAGCCCTCAGTCGACTCCTTGAAAACTGATTGTGGATAAACTTATTTTTGAGAAGACTCGGTTGGAGGAGCATATCGAGAAGCTCAACGCAAGACTATTAGGAGAACTTCCTTAAGGTTTTATTAGCTTTTATTTAGCTTTTTGTTTAAGACTCTTGTAAGAAGTGCTAAGATTGTAATCCTCACTTTTGATTAACCAAAATGAGTTTATTTTGATACATATCCTAGATGTTTGCAAATATTCAAGTTCCGCGAAACTTTTTGCATTGCATCTGTTTGCATTTTGCATTTGCATACATCGATAACATGTCTGAAACTAAGAATAAATATCAATTTTTTTACAAAAGTGATACAAACAATGTTGGTGGATTCTCTTGTTCTAACTATTGTGCAAAAACATTTTTTTCTCCATTAGACTATTTAGTTAAGCTTCCTTTTTAGGACAATTATCTCACAGTGTTCATTGAGGAACATGTAGATTTAACACATGCTTATATGGACATGCCGATACGACGTCTGTTAACAATTAAGTAGAATGGCTTTGTAATTGACAAGCTACTTGTTTTTGCAGATTTAATTGTGTTTGTGAAAGTCAAAGACAACAATCTTAATGTTGGAATTCGAAGGCGATGAAATTTGCTCTCTTGAATTAATCAGTACAAGGCCGAATACCAAAATTTAAAAGCTTTTCATCAAAGAGAAAGCCTAAAATAGTTGAACTAGAATTCATCTTGGACCACTATAAGGACTTACCATGTTTTTAAAAAATGAATTGAGAAAATTATATAAAATTTGAAAATAAAATGTGATCAAAGTATCATGACACATTCTAGAGGTATCCATCTCATATTGAAGTACTCATTTAAAATAATAAAGTATTCTAAAATGAATGATTTATTTTAATTTACAATGCAAATTAACTTTTTTTTTTATTTGTACTATTTAAATATTAGTACTTTCATCACTCTCAAATAAAAACAGCATTCTCTATTTTATTTCTATAATTTTTTTAATGTGTAAAATTATAAATAAATCAGTCATTATAAAAATGAGTTTAACTTAAGATGTTAATCTTAGTCACATAAGAACATCAACATCTTTATCAAGTTGACACTGGTCCAACCTTTATCACATTGACACTGGTCCAACATCAACGTCATTATCACATTGACACTGGTCCAACATCTATCATTTAAATGGACTAAATTGAACCATGATATAATTATAAAGCCAAAAACGTACTTAACTAAACTGGTATAGGTTATCTAAAAATACATTCGTTCTGGATGTCTTGTAAAGGTGCATTGGCAATTCACTTATTCTGCACTATTCTTACATGAATCAAGTGGTTTTCAAAAACCACAAGCACGATCCTTTGGTTATCACATATTCAAATACTTTGTATCATGTCTAAAATATTTCACATGATAGGTGAATTTTTTAGCCATAATATTTCGCACGATAGGAGGGTTTTTTCGCATGTAGGCTACTGTAAGAGGAATGTAAAGCTACCCACGGCCATATTGGATCAAAGGCACATAAAGAATGAGACATAAATCTTTTGACTATTACTACCAAGAAAACAATGTCAGATTATCAAGTTTATAAAGTTTCATCAAATCTAATTAAAGGGAATAATCTGAAACCAATGTATTCACATCACTAACAGAACCTACAAATCTCAAAGATCAACCTCTAACAAAAAAAATGAAACGAACAGAACTTTGTAATTGCATCAACGAAATCAACTTTTTATCAAAGAATCACTCATCATCACCAGCACCCTTGGAGGAACCAGCTTTCTTTGGAAGCAACAGGTTGTGAATATTGGGCATCACACCACCGTTGGCAATGGTAACATCACCGAGAAGCTTGCTTAATTCTTCATCGTTCCTAACAGCCAATTGAATATGCCTTGGCACAATTCTTGTCTTCTTGTTGTCCCTTGCAGCATTTCCAGCCAATTCCAAAACCTAATCACAAATCACAAAAATTAAGTCCAAATTTCCAATCAATTGGAGAAAACTTAAAAGAAACTATTCAGAATTACTCCAAGAACGATGAGTTTGAATAAATTAGGGGGGGAAATTTTGCAATTACAAAACCCTAGTTATGACACCTGAACACTAAATAGAAAAGAACAAAACAACAATTTCAAATAAAGTTAAGCAGGATGAAAATTACCTCGGCGGCGAGATATTCCAAGACGGCAGCAAGGTATACAGGAGCACCGGCACCGACGCGCTCAGCATATTTGCCAGCCTTGAGGAATCGGGCGATACGGCCAACGGGAAACTGGAGGCCAGCCTTGTTACTCCTTGAGGTCGACTTCTTTGGAGTGCTTGAGCCAAGAGTTTTTCCTCTACCCGCCATTGATAAAAAAAATTCACAGATTCGAAAAACGGTTTCGATACGGGAAGTGATTGATGCGAAAGAAAATTTTAAGTGTGCGAATGGGGTTTGGCGGTTGTGAGGTTTTATATTGTGACAATTGGTTGAAGGTGCAAATTGAACCAATGAAATTGATTGACGCGGATCGATAATGGTTGCTGTTGGATTGTTTTAGTGGACGGTTGAGATAAGTTTGTTGGGTAGGTATGTATTCACTGGTTATTCTAGACCGTAATGTAATGTAACTAGCGATTTTTTATACGTTTTTTTAAGCTTAGTTTATCTCAAAATTTTCAAAATAAGAGTGCAAGCAAAGCAACACATATTTTGTGTGAAGACTTTTTTTTTAATTCTTATTCTTTATGAGTCTCTTATCATGTCAATTACTATATACATTTTGTTTGTAGCATGATATTTTGTGACATTTTTTTTAATTTTTTTCTTTAAACGATATATTTGTGATTAGTTTTTTTCAATTTTTTTTCTTTTTATATGTCTTAGCCTATACGAAAATCTTCCTTTTTGTTTGGCTATTTTCCTTTTCTTTTTTTTTACATGTCTTAGTCTATAGGAAAATCTTTCTTTTTGTTTGGCACTTTAACACGACTTTTAATAAATTAAATAAACAAAATAGAAACATAAATCACATAATTAAAATTAAAACTACTTTTAACTCTCTTAGATTGATTTTCAATAAGAGTTTTTTAACGTCTATAGTAGGGGTGGCAAAATGGATGGATTGGATGGATATGGATTGGATTGCTAATGGATGGATTAAAACAATCCATTAGTCCATTAAAATCCACTAAAATTTTATTAAAATTATCCAATCCGATCCATCCATTAAGAATAAAATCCATCCAATCCATCCATTAACATATTTTTAATGGATGGATATCCATCCATCCAACTATTTTTTTAATTTCATAAAAATAAATATTTTTTTCAAAAACAAATTAGTTTTTTATTCTGAAAAAAAAAATCGGTTTTTTTTTTGAGAAAAAAATTTATTTTTTTTCGAAAAACAAATCAGTTTTTTATTCTGAAAAAAAAATTGATTTTTTTTCCAAAAAAAAGTCGGTTTTTTTTTCGAAATTTTTTTTTTTCGAAAAAAAATCAGTTTTTTATTCTAAAAAAACCGATTTTTTTCCAAAAAAAAAGTCGTTTTTTTTCGAAAAACAAATCAGTTTTTTATTCTGAAAAAAAACCGATTTTTTTCCAAAAAAAAATCGGTTTTTTTTCGAGAAAAATTTTTTTTTCGAGAAACAAATCAGTTTTTTATTCTGAAAAAAAAACTGATTTTTTTTCCAAAAAAAAAAGTCGGTTTTTTTTTTCGAAAAACAAATCAGTTTTTTGTTCTGAAAAAAAAAACAGATTTTTTTTCAAAAAAATTAAAAAAAATTTTTCAGAAAAAAAATATAGTTTTTTAATTATTTTTTTAAAAAATCTAATTTTAAAAAAATAAATCTAACGAAAATAAAAATAATCCATTGGATCCTTAAAATATGTTGGATGGATTGAATCAATCCATGCATATAAATGGATGGATTGAATCCATCCATGCATATAAATGGATGGATTTAATCCAATCCATTAACTTATTTTTTGTGTGGTGGATGGATTGGATGGATTTTTTGATGGATGGATTGGATGGATTTTGCCTTAATGGATTTAATTGCCACCTCTAGTCTATAGCTCAATGTATGACAAGTCTACGGTGCTCTGAGCTAAGCCTCTTCCACCAATCCACTCTCTTGTCTTTGGTGATAAGGTTTTAATCTCTGGCCATTGACCTTGAAGATATCTCCACTAATGTTATTCTTCAACTCAACTACCCCATGAGGGAACACTTTGTGGAGCCTTAATGGATCATACCATCTAGACCTCAGCTTTTCAAGGAACATCTTCAACATAGAATTGAACAACTACGTGCGAAGATTCGATCAGGACTCCCCCTAAATTTGAGAACCTATCACTTTCACTCAAACATTCTCCCAAGTGTTTGAACAATTAGAAAAGTATAAGAATGATTAAGCAATTACAACTCAAAACAAAACTTTATTCCTCTGAATATGAATGTCACTAGCGAATATAGTTTAACAACACAAAACTAAGAAAGAAAACGACTAAACTAAAAACTCTCCTATAGAGTAGATATTTTCTCTGAAGTTATGAGTCTTCATAAAGAAGGTGAGATCTTTAAATAGTCATGCAAAGTTTAGCTCCAAATCATTGTAGGATTTTCATCTTGAATATGACTTATATTCTAAAAAGCATAAGAGATCAATCTTCAATAATGTTGATTTCCAATCTTGATTGATCACTTACAAAATTAATCTAAATATTTAAATCAATCTTGATGAATTTGATTCAGATAATATCTCCTAAAAATAAACATTATCGATCAAATATTTATTATGAAGATTGAAATCCTCAATTTATACAAATCTTGAACAAATAAGCACTCCAAACGCAATCTTGCTAAAATTAGATATTTTTCAAATCCAAATATATAATCATTCAAATCTTTGATTGGATATAAAAGGAAGCAAATCTTCTTTAAATAAATGAACTTAAAATCTTTTAAAAAATGCAAACCCAAATCTCTTATTTAAACCATGTTCAATTAAGATCTTATCCACATAAATACATCATTTTTCAAATCTTTGACAAAAACAAATCTTGAATAAATATAAAGTGAATCATAATCTAATCTGAGTAGCACGCACGTAAGGATGTCACTCAACATGTGCACAAAATCTTGCTCAACAAGTTTCCTACAACTAAATTTTTATTTCTGAAATTCTGGTATGCAACTACAGATGTCGAGATAGATGTCACAACACCATAATCAACAAAAGCTTGATCACACAAACAAAGATGCAGGAATTTAATTAACATAAAACCAAAACCAACACTAGAATTGTTAACCTAGTTCGATGCAACTCACCTACATCTGGGGACTATAAAGCCAAGAAGAAAATCCATTATCAGTAGTATTAATTCGAAGCTAAACAATTCCAATTTACAACTCCTCACTTAATCCCTATCCAGTGCAACTTCTACCTAGGAACTCCTAGATATGAGAACCCATCTTACTCCCTAATCACCTCAGGTATATCAAACAATCACAATGCCAGTGACTGTATACAGAACAACGACACAAAAGATCACACTTCCAAAATAATACTTGATCTTACTTAAACGCTTCAACCAAGAATAACACACTATTTGCTTAAAAGCTTAGAGTGTACAATGAATAATCAATCAAACTCAATGCATCATAAGATACATGAGTGACATACAATTAACAAACAAAAATCCTAGGGACCAACCAAAACAATGGGTAATCCTAATTCTCTAAATTATTCACAATATGATCTCTTTTACAAATAGGGTTTTTCTTCTCTTTAAATAGCCTCCAGACCTACTGGACTTGGGCTTCTTGAGGCGCACAAATAGCAACAATCGGTATAAATTGGCTGCAAATCAACTTGCATAATAATTAGGAGAAAAATACAAACCTTCCTAAAAAGGCTCAAGGATCCTTTTTATGAAAAGTAACAAAATCTGCAATAATAGAAATTTCCACAGTATACTACCATAAAAGTCGCCCACATGTGCATCAAAACACACTCAAAAATCACACTAAAATTACCAAAATAGTCATGCCCTAGCTATCTGGTATAACATATCCTGGAACATGTCACAACATCATGTAGAACATGATCTCCAACTGACATGGCAGAACATCTGGTTCAACATCTTGCTAAAAACATGTTGTTTTACCAAAATACAACCAATCCAAAAACCACAGGACTTACAATCTCCCCATTTGGCAAATTTTGGCTAAAATAACCATAGCTCGCATTAGAGATACACAAAGCAGAAACAAAAACATAGAAACACAGAAACCCAAGAACCATAATGTTGTCAAACCAATAAAGAACACTAGACAAAACAATGTCAAGACATTAGGTCTGACATCATAAAACAACACAAGCTACATGAGAATATGTAAGCTCTGTACAAACTGCAATCTTGCAACAGCAAAACAGACAACAAACAGGTACATCATTCCCCCTGTCACACATAATCAGTACTCCCCCTGAAGAAGAAAACAAAAAAAAAAACAAAAAACTTGAGCAATTTCAAGTTCCTATAAATAGCAGCAACCACCTCAGTCTCACTCCCCCTAAAGACTACAACCTACTGTAAAGAAGAATAAATTCTCCCAGACACAACAAAGAGTTCCACATCTTCTCATCAGCAATAACAGGCATGGCAGAATATCATGCTCTCTCTCAATAGTTACACATAAGCAACAAAAAAACAATTACTCTTCCTAAGTAGTAGTATACACATGACATAAAGTCATGACATCTGATCTAACATCAGAGACAGAAAATAAAACAATAATTTACTCCCCCTTTTTATTAAAAAAAATTAACAAAAGGAAATAAGTAAATGTAAACATAAATAGAATCACACATAATGAAAGCACAAAAGAAACAAAATGCATACAACACAAGTTCAGATGGAAACACAAAAAACAATTGGAAACACAAAAAACAATTGGAAACACAAAAAAGTTCATGACTTTGTCCAGTAAAACATCCAAAATGGCAAAAAAGTGCAAACAGAAACAAAACACAGTCACAAAGGGTACATTCCCAAATAGTACAAGGAAAACCTCAACTAGCTCTAACCTTCAGGGCTCTCATCTTCACTGTTGAGGTGTTAGTCATCATTGTTTTTCTCTTCTACTTCAGCCAATTTTTCACCTGGACCTTCCTCAGACAGAGCTTTAATAAGTCCCTCTAGCTTTATTTTTCTAGTAGTACAGCTCTTTATAGTCGCTTCCAACTCTTTGCATGTCGCCTTCAACTTAGACACTAAACTTGTTTTGAATGTAGCAGTAGCATCTTTTATGTCAGATATTCTGACAATGTCGGGGACATATGTCCCTTAAACTATTTATA